TGACTATACAGCACTACGGAATCAACTGAGTCTCAATTTCTACGGTGCACGCCCACACGTCCGTCACCTAGCATGTGCGTCACCTCCAAACAATTCACATAACACGTATAATCAGGGTTCATACTCTCAGCTCCAAGTTTAGAAGAGTTACTTACCTCGAACAAGTCAAATCCAATATCGAGCAAGCTAAATAATGCTCCAGAAATTCCACTCTATGTGTATCAACCTCTGAACGCCTTCCTATCTCCTCAATTCTAAGCCAAACGATTCGAAACTAGTCAAACAACGTGCAAACTAATCAAAATATACAGTCATATCTCGAACTCCGCTTGAAAAATCGACAGTGGGGCTCACGTCTCAGAATCCGAAGAAACTCACAAAATCCGATAACCATTCAATTACGAGTCCAACCATACTAATTTTACTCAAATCTGACTCCGAATCGATGTTCAAATCTCGAAAATTTATTTTATGGAATTGTAAAAAGTTCCTCCAATTTCTCTTGAAAAATAAATAATCTAATACCGAAAACGAAGATTAATTCATGGAATATAATCACAAGGGAGTCAAGAACACTTACCCCAAGTTGTGTGGGAAATTTGCCTCTGAAAATCGCCCAAACCGAGCTCCCCAACTCTGTTTTTGTCGAAAATGGCAAAACCTTCCGTTTATAGAGATTTTTAATGTCCGAGCACTACAGGTGCCATAGGGCGCTACTTGTGGCCCAATTTCCAGAGCATCAAAATTTTCAGCGCCAGGGCTAGTGCCCCACGCTACCCTGGGCGTTGGCGGCGATGGAAAATCTTTTCCGACACAGAAATGGGCATAACTCTCTCATACGATGTTCGAATTCGACGATTCTTTTTGCTATGGCTCCGAAATTTCAATACGGATCTAATACTTCAATCAAAACTGAATTAGGAGCTCATTTGCTTAATGTGATACCACTTATTCTAGAAGAAACGACTTCGAAACATTCTAGAAATATCCAAATTAAATTCCGTTAACCATCCGAAATCCACCCGAGGCCCTCGGGACCTCAACCAAATATACCAACAAGTCCTAAAATATCATACGAACTTAGTCGAGAATTCAAATCACATCAAACAACATTAAAACCTCGAATCATACCCCAATTCAAGCTTAATGAAATTAAGAATTTTTAACTTCTACATTCGATGCCGAAACCTATCAAATCAAGTCCGATTGACTTCAAATTTTGCACACAAGTCATAAATGACATAGCGGACCTATAATATTTTTTCAAAATCGAATTTCACCCTCGATATCAAAAAGTCCAACTCCCGGTCAAACCTCCAATCTTTCAATTTTCTATTTTTGCCATTTCAAGCCAAATTTAACTACGGGCTTCAAAATGAACATCCGGACACACTCCTAAGTCCAAAATCACCATACGGAGCTATTGGAACCATCAAAACTCCATTGCGGAGTCGTTTGCATAAAAGTCAAATTTTGATGAACTCTTTCATTTAAGCTTCTAAACAAGGATTATTTTTTCAATTTAATCTCGAATCATCCGAAAACCAAAGCCGACAATTCACACAAGTCATAATACACATTACGAAACTGCTCAAGTCTTCAAATTGTCGAAAGGAGTGAACAAATTGTGAACACTTCTCTTAGACCTTTATGTACATTCTTTTTCATACTTTTATGTCATTTTAATACAATTAATTACTCATTTAATTAACCCAAATTTGTGCCTTTCTCATAGCTCCATAACTTCTTATAGAAGTAAAAAAGGAAAGAGAAGGAGATATCAATAGTACTAGAATATAAAGAAAGAGTAATTACTCTATTATTATTATTATTATTATTATTATTATTATTATTATTATTATTATTATTATTATTATTATTATTATTATTATTATTATTATTATTATTATTGTATAAGTATTTTATTTTCTAAAATGAATATTTATTTATTGTAAAATATGACATTAGAATAACATTCAATTTTAGGTAAATGGCAAAATGTAACCATCATCAAGTATATTTTCTTAACTGTAACAAATAATCTGCTAAAATACTTCGAGAAAAATATAACATATGCTTGCGTTTTACTATCATCTCTTTGCCCATGAAACCTATTTATTTTTTTCTCAATATTTAGGATTTCCCTTTGTTTTTCTTCCATTTACGTGCTAGATTAAAAAAACAAAAAAGACATTCTTAAATGCTCTTAAATCTTAATCATATTTATCATATTGATTGAGTCACTAATTAATGGGATCATTATAATTTTAGATGAGTTGCAAACTTTTCACCTCCCCATTCACCGTAACATCTCCTTTTTCAATAAATTCATTCATATAGATTTCATATACATGTTGTCAATCACCATTTTTAGGCCTATTATACGGTCCAATTGGTTTCACATTTCTGGTGCTAACGGGGCTTCCAAGAGTATGTTAATAGATTACTATTGTTTTAGTTGTTTGGCTTCCTGTTATCGTTTAGGTATATCAAGTGTGGTTTGAAGTAAATTTTGTGTTAAAGTAAAATTCAATATTTGTTATGCTTTTAATTGTTGCTATGCTCTTTGTATAATGTATATGACGGAGGAATTAAATTGACTTTTGCTTCATGCTTTCACGACATGCATTTTATCTTTTTACTTTAGTTTTTTTTCAATTTCTCACAGTCATAGTTCGGAAAAAATATGTTAATCTTATGCCTCTTCTGTTTTGTTTAAACAATCCTCTAAAAGCTGAAACTTAGCATTCAATGGGTAACAAAGAAATACAAAGATGGAGAGAAACAAATGATGAAAATTAAGAAGAATATTGTAGTTATTTTAGATGAATAAAAAATTTAAGTATGAGGATGTGTCATTCCTTTTCATGGAATAGATCTATTATTTGAAAAGGTGTGGTAGTTAATATGTCACTCCGTGTAAATACTACTATTCTATATCATTTCAGCACCTATAAAGAATTCTTGCTCTAAAATATTTCAGTTCTTGAAAATTTTCTCAAATTGAAATCTTCATCTTTTTGGCTATTCATCTTCACTCTTTCATTCACTCTAACTTCTAATTCGGCAATTCTTCTTCACTTTAACTTCTAAAAAGCAATTGAGAGATTTAACAGTTCCTCGGAACTTTTATTTGAATGCATATTAGAGTGAATATCTACATTTAAATTGTTCAGTGATTTTTGTTACGGTACTCATCACCCATGACCTTGAGTATGTAGAAGTCTAATTCTTTTCAAGAATTTGCTTTTAAGATTTATATGGAAGAGAAATGTAACTTGTGAGATTAAATGGTAGAAAGGATTATCTAGAAAAAGTAATTATTTTTTAGGTTCATAATTGGAAAAATATGGCTCTGGTTGAATTCTTTTTCCAAACAAAAGTAGCATAACGAAAGGAAGAGAATGTTTCATGTTTCCTCTTCATAGTCTTTAGCCAGAAATTAGTCTTATATGGATTTTAATTTTTTTTATTTGTGTGATACGGATAACTCCTTTTATTCAGTTTGATTTAATATAGCTTTCATATTAAGCCCCTCATAAATATTTAATCTAATTACATTTAAAACATAGTCTATGACAATGACATGTTCAACCCCTAAAAAAAAGTAACTTAAATGGATTCAAATTCGAGGCTAAATTACAGAAGTTCTTTTTCATATTCTTGAAACTTTTCTGTTTATTTCTTATATCTATTATAATATCATATGCACTCTAATTTGATCGAGAGAAAGATACAAGTTATTTCTGTTGTGTGATTAAAGCATTGATCATATGCTTTTCAATTTTATGATTACGAGTCCATAAGTTCCTTTCCTATTTAAATTTAGACCAAAAGAGGATTTTGTTCTTTCCTTTGTTTTATTGCAGGTGTGTTTTTGGTTATTTTAGAGAATGTTTTTGATGAATGGGGAAATATTGAAAAAGTGTTTACTTTGTAAATATTTTCTATAATTTTAGAAGATTTTTCAATCAAGTGTTGTTCTTTTTTTAATACATTCAATTTTACTTAAAATTATATATTTGATTAGTTTTGAGTTTAGATATGATTTTTATAAGTGAAAATTAGTTTAGTATTTGCATGTTTCTTCTTTTTCTATATGAACTAATTTATAAAATGATCACTAACAAAATCACGATTATTTATTTATTTATATAATCGTGCGAAGAAACAAGTTAACTAGTTTGTAAATAATCCTTGTTTAGGACGGATAATATATAAAATTAGGACATTTGTGGTAAATAAGTTTCAGATATTTAATAGGAAGAAAAAAATCTCTAAATTAAATTAAACAGTAAAAATTGAAACAAACTCGAATGAAGTAAACAATGTACTACCAAATGGAAACGAAGACTATCCTTGAATGAGTTGTGTGGTGCACCAATTCGTCATGTTTATAGAGAAGTCAATGAAGGAGCTATGGATTAGCCAAAGCATGGAAGCAAATCAGTGTGCATTTTATATTATTTATCAATCAAAAAGTTTACTAAGTTAATTTAAGGAAATTACGATTAGCTAAGCTAGCGTTGCGAATTCATTGAGAGAAAATAGAAAAATAACCTATGGCATCGGAAATTAAACTTTTTCTTTTGTCTCAATTTTACTTATGGAAAAGGACGAGATTGTAGCACGCATGCTCAATACTTTTTCAATACCACACTTTTCTTTATCTCTATAATACTTTCCTTCGTTCACTTTTAGTTGTCCACTTTGAGTTCGCACTCCCTTTAAAAAAAAAAAAATACATATTTTACAATTTCATTCATAATAATGATAACATTTCAAAAAGTATTGAAAAATAATTTGGGAAATGAATAATTAATGATAAGGGTAAATTGTTTTTTATTTTATTTAATAAAATAAATAAATAAAAATAAAAATATATTTTTAATATAACGAATAAATAAAAATGAACGAAGGAGTACGAAAAAGACGTCAAAAGAGACTACCGATCCTAGAAAGGTTAAGTACTTTAGTACTTCGATATTCGATAGCGTGTCTTTATTACCCACACAACAACGTCAGGAAAAAAAAAAATATTACCACAACAAAAAAGATTTGGTGCGCACCCCAAGACATGATAAGTTTTTTTTCTCTCAACAAATTGCTACTCCCTCCCAAAAAGGTGATACTAGTACTTTTTAGGTAGCTTGTTGTTGTTGGTGATCATCTGATACAGACATGGCCAATATCACAAGCATCGGAGTTATCGGCGCCGGTCAAATGGGTTCCGGAATTGCCCAACTCGCCGCCGTCAACGGCATCGACGTTTGGCTTTACGATACCGATTCTGAAGCTCTTATTAAAGCCCAAAATTCTATTTCCAATATTATTCAACGCCTCCTCTCCAAAGGACAACTCTCTCAGGTATTTCTTCCTCCTTCCTTCTTCACCAGTAAACTTCGCTATCCTACTTATTAGCTGAATTTTTTTCCTCTGAATTTCCTTTTTACTGTTGCTTTGAATTGCAAGAAAAAGAAGTCATTTTCTTTAAATTTTACCTTTTCCAAAAAAAGTTTAGCTAGAATTACTACTAAACACTCCCTCTAACCATAAAAGGTATAATGGATTTCCAGAATATAAGGTCAAAATATCTAGAGTAACTTTTTTGTGGGAATTTCATAAATTGATTCCTCAAAAGATTTTGAAATAGTATGCAATTAAAAAGGACTATAAATCACAATTTTCTTTTTTTTGAAACATAATATGTACAAAAATGTTTCGAAAGGTTTACAAGAATAACTATGTCTCCGTCTCAAACAAGTTGATATGAATCCTCACTTCCCTGTTTAAGCTCAACTCATGTCATAATCATACCAAATAAAAATAAAAGTAAAAAATAAGTTAAATATATATAAATAATAGTAACAATAATAGTATTAGAAGTTCTCTCCTATTCCCAACTAGCATGTATCACCTACATGCAAAGGCGGATCCAGGATTTGAAGGTTCCGGGTGCCACGCTACTTTGAACGTAGACGTCTTGTTATATACACGATCTAAATAAATATGGGTTTCAATTTGGGTTATTCATCTTTTTGGTTTATATAGACGAATGGATCAAACGAAAAAATATAATAATAATTATGACAACTTTGCACAAAGTATAAAACTTCCAATAGAATTACTAATATGCATCTCGATTCATAAAATTAGAAAACCTTCCTACAAAACAAAAGTTCAATCCAATTCATAATTAATTCGAATTCAATAAGGAAATCACATCCTTTTTTAAACGCATAATCCCAAATTCCACTCGCTAAAAGAAAAATATAGCAAGATTCTCAATTCTTGACAATTAAATCTTAAGAAATAGATCAATCATCAATGAACTTGTACATGAGAATAGAAAGTTTTCCAAATTGCTGAAATAATAATGCTGGTAGACTGTAGATCAAGCTTAGAAGCAAGATTCAAATAATTTAGATTTTAGACCACCAAAATTCTAGTTTTAAATTTTTCTACTTTCTTAGTGTAGCTAGAAACTATTCTCAGTTCTAAGTTCCTAAATAATAGCATTTTACTTCACAAATCACAATAGGCACCGGTCACCAAAGTAAGTCAAATTAAAATCGATGACCTGCGGCCAAAATGATGTGTAGCACCATTCTATTAAACTCTCTTGGCCCTCAAGAGTCAATCGACCTCTAAAGATAAATTCTGAAATAGCAAATTGTCTTTATTATGCAAGAGAGCGTATCAAGCCGATGGAGGAAGCAGCGGTGTCGACTGTTGAAAGGGATGGGAGACAATGGTTGAGGGTTTTTGATTGGAATTCTGTAGGGAGAGAAAATTTGTCAAAGGTACTTTAACTTTGTGTGAAATAAACTAATACTCCCTAAGTATAGAGACAAAAAAGTCAAAAGCCAAGTAATAAAGTCAACAAAATTAAAGAAAGATAAATAAGGAGAACATAATATATGTGTATAATGATAGAATGACAGAAACATTTAATAGATGCAGCAAACCAAAAAGTTCAAAAACTTCAGGTACAAGTATCGATCCCTCACCACCAAGGAAGAATTGACTGCCCCTTGCCACTGGCACCTTGACTTCTTTCGTTACTCTGGGTGGCAAGTGAAATATTTATAGCATTTTGTACATGTATATACATATATATTTAACGTTTTGGCGGAAGCTTGCGGGTGGCGTACCACCCCCTCGGGCCTTAGTAGATCCGCCCCTGCTACATGGATCTTTTTCTTCCATTGTTCCCTATTTTTAGCTAATTAAAGAAAAAACTCATTTGATTCCCAAGGTTGCAATAGTGTGTATCAAATGGGGCGGGGGAGTAAGATTTTGAGGCTGCGAATACTGCTTACTCTTGGAAGGTGTTGTTTGGAGTAATTTCTAGGAAATTCGAACAGCCGTGAGTTTCGTGTTTAATAACTTCTTGATAAAACAGGAAAAAAGTGCTGACGCTGTAAGACGTCTACGGTGTTCATCCCGCTTGG